TGTGTGTGTGTGTGTGTGTGTGTGTGTGTGTGTGTGTGTGTGTGTGTTCTCTGGGGACAACGCAGTTTGGAGATGGGGAGGGGTCAGAGTAACTGTAATCGATGATGATGATGATGATGATGATCGCTGGTGAGCGATACCCATTTGTGAGTGTTCTGTCGCTAATGCTTTTCCTGTGTCATCCTCCTCAGAGCTCGGGGAACGTGTCCTACCGCTGTTCTATGTCCTCCTCTGCGGATTTTTCTGATGAGGATGATTTCAGCCAGAAATCTGGCTCAGCATCTCCAGCTCCCGGAGACACCTTACCCTGGAATTTGCCTAAACATGAGAGGTCCAAAAGAAAGATTCAAGGGGGCTCCGTGCTGGACCCGGCTGAAAGGGCTGTGCTTCGGATAGCAGGTAAGAGGGGGAGGGGATGGAGCGGAGACCAGGGTGGCAGAAATTCACCCATCCGTTCCCTGGCGCTGTATCTGCACGCTGATGCGCCGGGCAGAAATGTGTCTCAGGTGGGGGAGGAAAAATGACCATGTTTACTTCATGGAGCGCTCTGCCTGCCTGCTCCGGTGACTAAGCTGTTTGGCTCTGCTTTCTGGTTGGATGAATCGATAGATTCTTAAAAGTAAGCAAATATTTACTGGTATCTGTGTTAAACTTCACTGTTGATGCACACTAACCATCAAGGCAACCCCAGAGTACTTCCTGGAGTATTTGCTGGAAGCTGTAGAACAGCCTTCATTTTTTTTTTTTTTCTTTCTCTTTTTGCCCAAGGGCACCGAGCTACGAGCTACGCAGGTCTAACTCAAGTCTCATGTTTTTTTGGTACCTAGAGTGCAGAGCATAACCCAGTAATTTGGATATCCTTATTATTTTTTAAATGTAGCCTTTCTGTGAGCGTCATGTGGCCATCGGTGGGTGCTTTGTGTCCTCAGTGTTTGTGAGGGGCCATCATGCGCTCTTGATTAATTAATACCAGTGTTTGTGTCCTGTGTGCGGGGTATTCCCTTGCATAGGCCATGCAGGCTGAGCTGGAATGGATAGCTTGTTTCACCTACTTGTAAACTGAGAACACCAAGGAGAGCAGCCCACAGGCCCTGGTGTTCTAGTAGATTTGTGCATGTGTAGAGTAACGCAGACTGGCCTCCTGGGTAGACCGGGCTGCATTCTCTTAACATTTTTTTTTTCTTCTTAGACATGGTAATAGGGCAGGCCGGACTGGGTCTGTCTCTGGAGATTCACTTACAAAGGCCAAAGGCCAGATGTTCAGGCCTGCTTCTTTCTCCCCTGCCCCCCCACTGGTGACTGGGCAGGAGTAGGGGCCTGTGCTCCCATAGTTTCTCTTGCTTTTGCTTCCCAGGTCATGCAAAAATTGGGGTTTTGTCTTCTTGGGTTCTGTGACCATCCCAGATTCAAGCCATCCAGGCGGCCTACGGAGAGATTCTCCACAGGGTCCCTACAGTGGGATTTTTTTTTTTTTTACTTTATTTTGTTTTGATTTTAAGAAAAAAACAAACAAACAAAAAACAGAGGTTGGCCAGTCCTTCTGTAGTCAAGGTTTCTGGGACAACAACCTTGAGCTTCTTTTGGCTTCTGTCCGGAGATGCCTGCTGGTCTCACCCAGCCTTTGAGGAGGAGGGGTGGAGCAGGAAAGGGAAGAGGAGGGAGGATGGAAACTGGGAGCCAAGTGAGAGTGAGGTGGTTAGGGCCTTGGCTCTTCTTACCGTCCCTTCAGTGTTTAGTTACTTGGGCCTGCCTCTATCTTGTGGAAAGTCTCCTGCGGTGCTAACACTCAAGGGAGAGGAGGGGTGCTACCAGAAGCACACTTTGGCTCTGAAGAAGGAGGACATAGGGGAAGGGAATGTGTGTGCAAGCTGTTGATGCCCATGGCAAGCCTAGGACCTCAAAACAGGATGCCTAGTCTGAGTGGTTCTGTGTTTGGTTTGGTTTTGTGTTTCTTGAGACAGGGACTCGCTGTATAGCCTTCGCTGGCCTGGAACTCTTTATGTCCATCAGGCCAGCCTCAGACTCACAGAGAGCTGCCGGCCTCTGCCTCTTGAATGCTGGGATCAAAGCCAGGCACTGCCACACCTGGCACTGTAGTTTTTGCTGGAGGTGGGTATTTTGTTGGAGTTTATGAGACAGAAACAGGGTATGTGCTTGTCAGCGGTCATGCGATTGCATAAAGTGGAACATGTGACCCGGCATATGTCATGGGAGTTGCTGTTACCCATCAGTGAGCACCGTAGGAGGGGCAGGCATGGGGGCCCTGGGGACAGTAGTGGTACGGGACTGTAGACCTGAGAGCAGAGGCCACATGCTGTTCATTGTAAAATGTCACCAAGTTTGAGATGGCTGACTGAGACCTCCAAGTTTCTGCTTTTAAAATAACACGGATTCTTCAAAAATAGAGCACAGCAAAATTAACAGTGTAGCAAATGGAAGCGTGGAGGCATATTACTGCTTTTTAAAATGTTGGTAAATTATGTGTTTGCTATTCAAATCATACATGATAATCCCACATGGAAGACGGAGGTGGAAGTCAGTCCACAAATGACATTTTAATCCCTCGTGTGACTGAAACACATGTCAGGCTGGCCAATGTTCCCCCGTGAGATGAGGGTGCAGTCTCTCCACCGGAACCTGACAGTGAGGGGAGTCTGAAAACACGCCACTAAAATTTCCACTTCTACTTTAAAATCACAGTTGACACTGTGCTTGAAACTCAGTTCTTCGTTGAAAAAAAAATGAGAAAGATGGAGTGCTGTGTGGGAATGTCTAGAAGTTTGTGGTACTCAGTTTCAGTAGTAAAAGCGCTTAGCATATTTCTTACGGTCATTAAAGTAGAGCTGTTTGTGAAGCCGCCCCCACCCCCGGCCATAAAGCCACGCAGACCGTGGGATAACTTCATTCATCTGTAGTTAACACACATTTATTGAGCTTCTGTAGTAAAACACAGGACATAGTTCTGCCTTTAAAAAGCCATAGCTTCTATGACAAACAAATGTGCTGCTGGACAGTGACAGCAAGCTTTGTGAGATTAGCTGTCATGGCTGGAAGCATCTAATATTAAAAGAACCCAGAGGAGTCTAATTAACCTGGGGGAGAAGGGAGATGTGGGAGGCTCCTCAAAGGCTTTTGAGAGGAAGTACCATTTGAGCTGAGATTAGAAGAGCTTGATAGAATTAAGATGACAGGGAGGCCACTTCAAAGGGATGGGACTTGATAGGGGACAAAGATAGGGGGCTTGTTTAAATGTGGACTGTAAGTAGAGAGCGTAGCTGAGCACCAGGATTGGAGGGAATGGTAGAAACGTTGGCGCTGGCGGGCAAGGCTGAGCCCCTGGGTCTACTCCCGCACTGATGTAATCAGGTTCGTGTTTTAGTAAGTCACTGGTGGTGGTGACGTGTTTCCGTTACTTTACAGATCTCTATCTACAGATAGCTCAGTGGTGGCTTACTAGCCTTGGTTATCAAAGGCCTCGGTTTGATGCTCAACACTGAGAAAATGAAAGGCACTTTAGTGTTTACTGCAGCTTCGTTCTATTAAAATCTGAAGGTATATGGTACTCACGTTCTCTCGGGATCACTGTGAGCTCGGGTAATATGTGAAGAGGGCTTTGTAATGCTTACCGTATGAATGCATTTTACACGTGAATAATATAGACCTGCTGTCTGTAGCTGTAGGGGGTTGTCACTTGGGTTTTCTATCTTGAAGTTACATGTAAACACGCATGGTTTTTCAGTGGTAATGTTTTAAAAGCAGAATTTTTAAAGTTAGGATTGGCTGATTGAAAGATCAGGTTCTGAACATATACCTTTGGATTAAATTTCTCATCTGTTACTGTCACCGAGTTTGTTGTTGCTGTTTTTTTTTTGTTGTTGTTGTTGTTGTTTTCTCTTTTTCAAGACAGGGTTTCTCTGTGTAGCTCTGGCTGTTCTAGACTCCCTCTGTAGACTAGGCTGGCCTCAAACTCACAGAGATCTGCCTGCCTCTGCCTCCTAAGTGCTGAGATTAAAGGCGTGCTCTTTTATGAGACAGGCTGTCATTCAGAAAAAGTTGTCTTGCCAGTGTGCTGAGGCTGACCATGGATTCTGATCCTCTTGCCTCCATCTCTCCAAAGCTGGGATCATAGATGTGCACCACCATTGCCCATCTCTAGCTGTGCCTGACGTGGACAATCACTGAACTTTTCTTTGTTCCAGTTTCTTAACTGAAAACTTCGGTGAAATATAGGCTAGAGACAGAGATATGTTAAATAGACATAGAGAATGCAAATCATTTTGCAAATTCTCTGCCACATGGAAGATACTCTATAAATACGTGATAGCCATGTGCGAAAGTAGGTGTCTTCTGAGCAGTCACAGATCCTCACATGGGGCCTGCCAGCACCCCTGTAACAGGAACTGCGGGTTTCTCAGTTCATAAATTCCCTCAGCAAGTAGAAGCACCCCAAGGCCATCAGCTAGGATCTGGATTCAGGCGGTCTTGACTCCAAAGCCAAGGTCTGTGTTGCTGCTCTGTTCTGCCTCCTCATGGATCATACTGTTGCCTCCAGCATCTCCACCTGCTGTAATGGTTTCAAGATTGCTTGGGGCAAAGGCTAGACCCCAGATGCTACTACTTCTGCTCATTTTGACTGGCTCTTTAAGTGGACAGTTTAAAGAACACTAAAATACGTGCTGACTGTATCCGTAAATCTGGATGCTGTTGGGTGTCATTTTCTAATGAAGACTCAGACTTTCCCTTCAGTGACTGTCCTGGGCCCACGTCTGAGTGTGGAGTAGAAATGGGAGCTGGTTGCTAACTCTTTTCATTTCAGGAAGTTTTCCCAAGGTTACTTTATAAACAAGTGCACATGAACGGCGTATTCAGTTTTATTCATATGCAGGGATCAAACTCAGATCATAGACCAGTGATCAGGCTAGAGAAGGGAGAGGAGGTCTTGCTTTATTTGGGGAAATAAAAGCAGGTCGATTTCTGGGAGGAGTTAACTGCCCTGATTCTAACAGAATTCCCTTTTCAAGCATGCTTCTTTCTCATATAGAGTTAATAGAAAATGGTTCCAATTCCACAACATTAAATGTCAACAAAGAAAGAGTCAAGGGAGATAGGCCAGAATATGCTGGAAATAGGGGATGGAAGCTTTAGGGAACAATGTCATGTATGGAGATGGCCATTAATTGAGTGGGTTTTCTAAGCATGAAAAACGTGCTAGGAAAAAAGTTAAAAACCCATTTACCCTCAGAACTTCATTTAGGGGACTGCAGAGGTGGCTCACAGGTTGAGGGCGCTGGCTGCGACTGCAGAGGACCCGGGTTCAATTCCCAGGAACCACAGGGCAACTCATACCTATCTATAACTCAGCTCCAAGTGATTTGACACCCTCACAAGTCATACGTACG